TTGCAGTATTTCCCATAGAGAGCGTCTCTTCGGGTCCAGCAGAAGCATATGTAGAAAATGCTTCCCTCACAGCACAAACATGGCGAGTGGCTCCAGAATCAATCCACCACTCCTTTGGGTTTCCTACCAGGTTGCATTCAGAAAGCATGGCGCACAAGTCATCAACATCATCATGCTTTTCTACCATGTTTGCTTGACCCCTTTGCTTGTCTTTCTTCCGAGCACGACACTCCGTAGATTTGTGTCCGGTTTTCCCACAGTTGTAGCAGTTTCCACTGAACCGCTTCTTGCTTGGGTTGTATTTCGGACCAGAAGCCTTCTTTCTCTTTTTGTTATCTTCAACAATATTTGCTCCCATTATTGTTGAATTTCCACGGCCTCTCCTTTCAGCAGCTTTATTGTCCTCTTCGATTCTCAATCGAACAATGAGATCTTCAAGGGACATCTCCTTTCGTTTGTGTTTCAAATAATTTTTAAAGTCCTTCCACAATGGAGACAACTTCTCAATTATTATTGTTACTTGGAATGCCTCATTGATGACAAGACCTTCAATGAAAATTCCGTTAGTAAAATTACTAAAAATTTTACTTTCAACATTAGCATTCATTTGAAATATACCTTCAGCAAGTAGATCATGAATAATCACTTGTAACTCCTGGACTTGGGTAATAACATACTTGCTATCTACCATTTTGTAGTCCAAAAATTTTGCAGCGACAAATTTCTTCATCCCCGCATCTTCAGTTTTGTATTTCTTTTCAAGAGCATTCCACAATTCTTTTGACGTCTCCACGCCATTGTATACATTATACAGATTATCCTCCAGTCCGCTAAGAATATAATTCCTGCACAAGAAGTCAGAATGCTTCCACGCCTCAATGACGAGAAAGCTATCATTCTCTGGAGTTTCATCTGGATGATCAGGAACATCTTCCTTGATGAACTTCTGTAGACATAACGTAGTCAAGTAGAAGAACATCTTTTGCTGCCAGCGCTTGAAATCCATCCCGGAAAATTTTTCGGGTTTCTCTGCCGGTGCCAACGCCGGAGTTCGACTTGTCGATGCGTTGGCAGTCATCATCGGAATAGCTTGATTTCCGTCATTCGTCATTTTTACTGTAAAAATGACACAAACAAACGTTTAAAACTGGAGTGAAAAATCACATAGATTTTAATCTCCAACAAAACGCCACGAACGCTATACTCTCCAAATAGGAGTACACAAAACCACAAAGGTTTTAAGTTTCCAGAATAATAAAAGTAACACAAATACAGAAATTAAAATTATTAAATTATTAAGCTTGTTGTTGTTGTTTCCTGTGTAGTACTTCTTATCTGGTATAAATATGGTATGATGGAAGATCAAGTTTTAACTTTTCCACTCTTAGATATATATTATCCTCTTAATCAGCTACCTACTGCAGTAACATACGTAAATATAAATGATATAACTGAAACAAAAATTAATTTGAGCCCACTGAATTCACAGTGTTTCCTTAAGGAATTTAATTTGAGCCCACTGAATTTCAGCGAACGCAAAGTTCGGCAGCAAATCACACTTACAGTTGCTTTGTTTATAGTTTTAAAACAATGCAGAACAAGGGAGGAGAACTCAGAAGTCGAATGAAAATTCTGAGAGGAAGGAATGCAATGTATAGCCGATGTTGAATTCTTATTGAAGAGGATATCAGATTGCAATTCGTTTTTCTAGTGTATACACAGTGTATACAGAGTGTAGTTTGAGTGTATACAGAGTGTAGTTTGAGTGTATACAGAGTGTATATCACTTATATACAGAGTGTATATCAATTGTATACTGAGTGTTTCGAGTGTTTTTTTCGGTGTGTTCTTCTTTCTCTACAACTTCTGTTCTATTTATAGCAGTCATGTGAGAGAAATCCGCCCCCTCCATGGTGGAACAAGCATTAGGATATCATGGAGGAAGCACTTACATGGTGGAATGAACACTTGCTTGGTGGGAGGAGCACTTGGCCATGGTGGGAGGTGCACTAGGCATCTTGTTGCTTTCTTGGTGCAACACAATACACGGATTGGAAAACATCCGTTACAAACACGGATTATATCACGTTAATATTCACTATTAACAAATAAATTTGGTCCAAATAATTAATCAATCGATCGATCATTTGATCAAATCCGAATCCAAATCCAAATCCAAATCCCATTTTCCATTCACTCTTATTTTAAGACTATTTCATCTTAAAGAAAAAACTCAACAATCCAAAACTCAACAACTACTTTATGGTATCAAGAGCCATTGTGCTTCGCAGCTAAAATTTCTGGGCACCTAGTTTTTTTTCCAGCAGCCATGGCTCCTCCAAATGACACCTCTAGTTCCATCCCATCCCCAACAGATCCAACGCTAACACCTGAAAATCAAACGACCCCATTGGCTAACCATCAAAACATTACTTCCCCAAATATTGTGGCCTCCTCTAACACCATTATCTCCTTGAACAACAAAGAACAACTTATCTCCATTAATACTGCCGCTCAAGCCCCACTAAAACTCACCACCACCAACTACAAGTCTTGGCAATATCAATGGGATACATTGCTCACTGCTTACAATTTTCTCCAGTTTATATATGAGCCACCATCCATCGTGGCAACATATGCCTATAGACGGCAAGACCATCTTATTAGAAGTGCCATGGTTGCATCTCTTTCACCAGAAATTACACCCTTTGTTACTGATGACAAAACTTCTTACGCTCTTTGGCAAAACCTTGCCACCACTTATGCCAAGCCGTTGCGTGCTCGCATAATTAGCTTGAGAGAAGATCTGAATAATATTATAAAAGGCAACCTCTCCATTACTGTGTACTTTCAGAAAATTAAAAAAATCTGCACCAAGCTTGCTTCAGTTGGTGTTCACATATCCACAGTCCACTGATGAAGTTTTTCTTCATGTCGTACATGGCCTTCCACCTGAGTATGATAGCATAGCCTCTGCACTTCGTACTCGTGAGACCCCCATAACCTTTCAAGAGCTTCATGACAAACTGACCGACTTTGAAGCTCACTTGACACGCCGGTCATCCCAAACTGTAGCGCCAATCATGACAAACTTTGTTGCTAAATCTGTCGGATTCACCAACCGGAATTCAATCGGAATACCAATAACTTGCGTCAAATGAATTTCTCTCCTTCCAATTGGAATTGAAATGGCAGTAATCAAGGAGGTCATTCTGGTGGCCAAATCAATCGACCCAAGGTTACTTGTCAACTATGTGACAAACCTGGCTACCATGCAAAGCAATGCAGGAAGTTCTTTGCAATTTTTACTGTTGTCATAGGTACCAAATCCAATGGTTCTTCGAACAACTCCAACCGGTCCAAAAATCAGCAACCCAAAGCTAACTTTGCTTCACAATCCACTAATGCGGATCCAAATTGGCTTGTCGAATCCGGTGCCTCGCACCATTTTACACAAGACTTGCAAAACCTTTCTCTTCATTCTGAATATGATGGTACTAAGGATGTCATGCTTGGTGTTGGTAAAAATCACAAAATTACACATATAGGATCTACTCTCCTACCCACTCCCTCTACACCTCTTAAGTTAAGTAATATTTTATGTGTGCCTCGTATGAAAAAGAATCTTATTTTTGTTTACCGATTGTGTAATGATAATACTGTTTTAGTTGAATTCTCACCTGATTTCTTTGTTGTGAAGGACTACTACATGGGGACCTGAGGGCGATATGTATCTGTGGCCTTCCAAGTCTATTATCCAAGCTACACATTTTCCTCAAGTCAACACCACTTCCACCACCACTGCTCCCAACTGGTATCGATGTCTCGTGCGTCCCTCCACTGCTACTCTTCGTCATATTTTGAAGCTTTTGAATATTTCTTCAACTTTAGAGAAGAATTTCTTTTGCAATTCTTGTAAATGCAATAAAATGCATAAGACTCCTTTTCATAACTCTTCAATACAGAGTTCTGCTCCTTTAGAGTACATTTATTCTGATGTTTGGGGTGTTGCGCCTAAAGTTTCTATTGATGGTTATCAATATTATTTAACATTTGTGGATCATTATACAAAATATATCTGGCTATTTTCTCTGAAGAGGAAGTTTGATGTTTCAATTGTGTTTCCAAAATTTAGACGAATGGTGGGGAAATTATCTCAAAAGCCAATTATATGTTTTTTCTCTGATAATGGTGGGAAAGTTTTTCATCTTCATTCATTCTTTGAAGACAATGTGATATCACATTTTCTCACTCCTCCCTATACACCTGAACATAATGCCACTGCCGATCGTCGTCATCGCCATGTTGTGGAGACAGGTATCACCTTATTACAAAATGCTAATCTTCCTCTAAAGTTCTGGTCATATGCCTTTACTACTACTTCCTACTTAATCAACAGGTTGTCTACCCGAATTTTAGATGGTGATTCACCTTATGTCAGATTATATGACACTTTACCAAACTACAACAAACTTCGTGTTTTTGGTTGCTTATGTTATCCATGGCTACAATCAGAACAAATTACAACCGTGCTCCAGTCCTTGTCTTTTTCTAGGCTATTCACAAAATCAGAGTGCTTACAAGTGTTATGATCCTGTAAACTCTCGCTTTTATTTATCTCATCATGTTGATTTTGTAGAACATTCTTTTCCTTATATCTCTCTTGAACTGAAGGAAAATAGAACTCAACATGATACTGCTGATTCTTGGGCTCCCAACCACTTTGTAATTCCTCTTACAAATCATCAATCTTCATCCATCACCTCTCCTACAACCTTTACTTCATCTCCCCTTAGTTCTCTACCACCCAGCGGTGCACCTGGCAATGCTTCTTCATCAAACGAAATTGGGAGTTCATCCGATCATCACTCAGGTATGTCTTTTTCTCCTTCGTTATCATCTGCCCGCTCTACCTCTTTACCCTCTTCTGACTCCTCTGTACTGAAAAAATTAATGAACTGTAATTTTTTTCTGCTTGTATATTTGATGAATGGGAAGAAAAATTGTATCTTCTCAAGTGTACAAATCCAAACTTATATACAAAAATGTTTTTGGGTAACCTCCTAGGAAAAGTTGTACATAAAAGAAATACAAAGATGGAGCAAATAATTAAATACAAAAGGTATGGGAGAACTACCTAAAATAGAGTGTAGCATGTGCTGTACACTAATTTTCCGAACAGGGCAATGCCACAAGTGGGCCGATTGACCAGGCCTAATTGTGATCACAATTAGGCCCAAAATATCAAACCCAATCAGGCCCAATCCCAGCATACCAAACACAAACACACCCAATCTATTTCCCTGTTCAAACCCGTCCAAATACCAAACATACCCAAATCAAAAAACCCTTCTGCTTCAAACCCTTCCAACAGACCCTTCGATTCCAACATGTACCTGATAACACCAATGTGTCTAACCAAAATCTGAACATTTAACCCTCTCATCCCATGACTATCCGGTCAAATAATAACATTCATATACCCATTCAGAAATTGTGTCTTAGTACTACTATTCATGATTATGCTAAACCCAACACATCCCTAGTCTCACCAATAACCACATCATCCCACTTACCTCCAGNCAACAAAGTTTAACAAAATCAGCCCAGCTAGGTATTGGTCGCGTACAAAATGACAATCGATTTCAACGTGCTTCGTCCGTTCGTGAAAAACAGGGTTTCTTGCTATGTGAATTGCTGCTTGGCTATCGGAGTGAAGAGAGACTGGAAGAGAGATAGGAATTGACAAATCCTCAAAAAGACGGACCAACCATGTGAGCTCTGCAACTACTCTCCGCATAGATCTGTATTCTGCTTCGGCGGAACTGAGCGAGATGGAAGTTTGCTTCTTGGACTTCCAAGAGATCGGAGAGGTACCAAGAGAAATATAAAAACCACTGACCGACTTCCTCGAATCCGGGCAAGTGGCCCAATCGGAGTCACAAAAAGCTAGGAGCTTGAAGGAGGAGGAAGCAGACATAAAAAGCCCTAGCCCAGGATCTTTGAGCAGATAGCGAAGAACACGGAGTGCTGCATCTAGGTGGGGTTGTCGAGGGTGCTGCATGTACTGACTGAGGTGCTGGACAGTGAAGGATAAGTCTGGGCGGGTGTGAGTGAGGTAGTTAAGTTTGCCAAGGAGATGACGATACAAGGTGGGATCTTTCACTGGTTCCCCTATGTGAGTAGACAAACGAGTAGACGAATCGAGTGGAGAAGAAACAGGGGACAAGTGCAAAAAGTCAAATTCTCGGAGAAGGTCTAAAGTGAATCTGCGCTGAGAAAGGAGAAGTCCATCTGTTTCTCGGACAATTTCCATGCCTAGAAAGAAATGTAAGTCCCCGAGATCTTTAATTTTGAACTCTTGATTGAGAAAGTTTTTCAAAGCATGTAGTTCTTTGGTGTCATTACCTGTCAAGAGTATATCATCCACGTAGACAGCCACTATAGAAACGGAAGAATCTGACCTTTTAAAGAACAAAGAATAGTCGTTGAATGAGTGAGTGAATCCCTTAAAGTTCAAAGCAGTTGTAAGTTTAGCATACCACTGACGAGATGCCTGTCGTAGCCCATAAATTGATTTCTTTAGCTTGCATGCATGAGTAGGTGAAGTAGGTATAACTCCAGGTGGGAATTTCATGTACACTTCTTCATTTAGATCTCCATGTAGGAAAGCGTTATTCACATCTAGTTGATATAGACCCCATCCTTTCTTTACGGCAGTGGCTAGTATGCATCTGATTGTGGTCATCTTAACCACCGGTGAAAAGGTTTCATTGAAGTCTATTCCCTCTTTTTGTATGTCTCCTCTAATGACCAATCTTGCCTTTAGTCTTTCCACACTCCCATCTGAATGGTGTTTAACCTTATAGACCCATTTGCATGGTAAAGCTTTCCTCCCTGGTGGTAATTCAACCACTTCCCAAGTCATATTAAGTTCAAGTGCCTCAATCTCTTTATTCATTGCTTCTTGCCACCCTGGGTGGTGTGTAGCCTGTAAATAGTCAGTAGGTTCTTGTATATTGGACAATGTGTTTAGCATATGTTGATTGGTAGAAGATAGTCCACTGAAAGATATATAAGTAGGTTCAACTGGTGTGAGAAAGCAAGAGTTGCTAACATCTGTGAGTTGGAGTGCATTACAGATAAAATCTTTGAGATAAGATGGAGTTGTGTGTGGTCTGGTAGACTTCCTAATAAGAACATCCAACGTAGAATCAGAATCCAAAGAAGGAAAAACTGGTGTAGATGTATGTGGTTGATTAGATGTAACTGAAAAATCTGAAGAGATACAGGGAATAGGTGAACTAGGATGGCTGGAATAAATGGGGGAAGAACAACAGTCACTTGATGCAGTAGCCTCTTTGGAGTCTTTAGTGTGTGGTCTGATAGGAAAAGATAGAGGCTCAGGAGTCTGATGACTTGCAGAAAATGGAGCAGTGGGTAAAGAAATCTCAGAAGAAGAATTAGACTTAATAGTGCTAAAAGGAAAGAATTCTTCATGAAATATAACATCTCTGGAAATGAAAGGCTTCAAATTCTTGAGGTTCAAGACTTTGTAACCCTTCTTTCCATGAGGATAACCTAAGAACACACAAGGTATAGCTCTAGGTTCAAACTTAGTTCTTTGATTTGAGACAGTAGAAGCAAAACACAAACACCCAAAGCATCTAAGGTTAGAGTAATTTGGCTTGCTTGAAAAAAGGACTTCATAAGGAGTCTTAAGCTTTAAGACACTTGAAGGAAATCTGTTGATCAAATAGGTTGCTGTAAGAAGGCAGTCACCCCAGTATGATGTAGGCAGGTGTGATTGGTATAACAAGGCTCTAGATGTCTCTAAAAGATGCCTGTGCTTTCTCTCCACCACTCCATTTTGTTGTGGTGTGAACACACAAGTGGTTTGATGAATAATACCTAGTG